GCGGGGGATGGGCCAGCCACAGCTTCTCTGGGCACCCTGTGCCAGCACCTCAGCACCCTCACAGGGAAGAACTTCTGCCTTATACCTAACTTGAACTTCCCCTGCTTCAGTTTGAACCCCTCACTCCTTGTCCTATTGCTACAGTCCCTGATGCAGAGTCCCTCTCCAGCACCCTTGTAGCCCCCTTCAGACATTGGAAGATCTTGGTTTCCATGTGTCTCCATTACCTGCAAGATCTGCTTGTGCTCTAGCAAGACCTACAGCCCCATGCTCTCTAAAGCTACCTGAAAGGAGGTTGTAGTGAGGTGAGGCTGGGGTCTTCTCCCACAGGACAAAGGGTGAGGATGGTCTCTTCTCCCAAGGAACAAGGGATGGGACAAGAGGAAACAGCCTCAAGCTGCCCCAGGGCAGGTTTAGCTGGAGCTGAGGAACAATTCCTTGCCCAGAATGGTGCTCAGGCATTGGAACAGGCTGCCCAGGGCAGGGCTGGAGTCACCGTCCCTGCAAGTGTTCACAGCCCGGGTAGCCGAGGCCTCAGTGCCAGGGGTCAGTGGTGGCCTTGGCAGGGCTTGGCAGGAAGGAAGAGAAGGAAAGGTCATGAAGTCTTAAGGCTCAGCTGGAAAAAACAATATATTTCCCATGTGGTCCAGTGCAAAAATGCATTATTCGACTGCTTTAGCTGCCTGGGTACATGATGTGTCCCGATCCCCTCATCTGCAACACAGGAAAACCTCATGTACCATGTTTTGTACAGTGGGAAATGAACAGCTGGGAAATACATTTGTTTCCCTGTTTGAGAGGAAGGAGGGATAAGTAAAGCCTGGAAGCAGAAGGCAGGAGTGGGCACAGAGGGTCTTGGGGAAGGGTATGGGGCACAGACATGGCAGATCTGTCCAGACAGTGGGGCAGTGAGAGATGCTTGTTGTTGTACTCTAAGTACAATAGCAGTGTTCAAGGCCAGGTTGGACACAGGGGCTTGGAGCAACCTGCTCTAGTGGAAGGTGTCCCTGCCCGTGGCAAGGGGTTGGAACTGGATGAGCTTTAAGCTCCGTTCCAACCCAAACCATTCTACCATGATGGTGTTTTGAGCTGCTGCTCAAAAGGTGTGGAAGGATGCAGAGGGAAGGATGGGGCTGGAGATGGCAAGGTGATCCAGGAGAAGAACAGTCGGAGCCCATCAGTAGCAGAGCTGCACAGACATTTATTGAACACAAATGACAAACACAGCCAGCTTACAGAGCTTCCTGAGCTATTGTCCAAGGGGGTTGCTCTATGGGGGTTGTTAAAAGAGTGCTTTCAAATGCCCCTGGGGGTGTGAATCCCAGACAGCTGAATTCTTCCCACTTCCAGTTGCTTTGTTAGTTAAGAAAGAGGATCATTTCTGTGGAGGGGTGGGTGAGATTCCCTTCGTTTAGTAGGAAAAACGACTTGTCTGGACCCTGCCATGTTGCAAAGAGAGAAGGCTGCGGGTTGCGCGTTGGCTTGGCTCCCGCACCCATGTTCTGCTTCCCAAAGGGTGGAAACTATCCCTTACCCTGAGGGCAGGGATTCAAGGTGGCAAAGGTGAGCCGGGACAAGCAAAGCAAACGAAGAGGGAGCATCAAAGGAGGAAGGGTGAGAGAAGTAAAGTACTCTGAAGCACGCACAGCTCTGGGTGGCATCACAGGTCCATAGGCTACAGCAAGTACCGCCAACATCAACTCAAACGTGTAAGTAGCTACTATGCTAGATTGCAC